TATGTGGAGGTCAAAGGACAGGTTTCCGTCAGTTCTCCCCTTCCACCATGTGGGTCCCAGGGACAGAACTCCGGCCATCAGGCTCAGCAGCCTTTACCTGCCGAGCCTTCCCGCCAACCCTGTTACAGCTTTCCCCAATGTTTTGGCAGGAGGCTAGGGTGTCCTCGGTGCCCTTTGCTCCTTAGCACGGCTGTTCTGCAGTGCAGAGGGCCCGCGTCGTTGCTGCTTCCTCACATGCAGCAGAGAGGAAAGGAAGGAATGACTTTGTCCTCAGCCTGCTCCTCGCCATCTTTCCTCCCTAGCTTTCGGGTTCAGATCTGCCTTTCCCTTCCGGCTCCCTCTAGCAGCCTCAGAAACCAGGCGGTGGTGCACACCTTTAATCCCAGCACTGGGGAGGCTGAGGCCTGGGGGTCTCTGAGTCTGAAGCCAGCTTGGTTTACATACTGAGTTCCAGGCAAGCGTGGGCTACACACAGAGACCCGTGATATCTGGAAGTGAGCAGATGAGACATGGTGAGCTTGCTGGCCCCTCGTCCACACACAGGTCAGCGAGGGTACCTATAGAGGCCCGGCCAGAGAAAAGCTGCTCCGGGTCACACCCGTGAGTAGTGTCACCTGTGTCACATGGACAGCTTCTGGTGCAACAGAGTAGCAGACTTCAATGAATCACAAATATGAATTCTGTTAAATAACCCAAGAGAAAATGTCATTTTCTCATAAGCTCCTCAGACATACCCTTCTAGACATGTGGCCATGAGGCAGTTCTGTCCTGGGTAAAGCTTCCGTCTAAATAAAGGCAGTGTCTTAGGGGTGCAGATGGAGTTCATTGATGGAGTGCTTATCAGCATGCGCAGATCCCCAGGATCCACTGCCAGCACATACGTGTATCCTTGGGAGGGAGGATGGCAGAGACAGGAGAATCCCAGGGTTTGCTGGCTGGCCCGTCTAAGCTCCCAGGTCAGTGAGAGACCCTGCTCTCGTGTGGTATATTTCACTCTATTATATAAAAATGTAATTCTTTTTTTTAAAAAAAAAAAGGCCATGGTGTAATTTTCACCTTCCTGTAATTTTAGTACTCAGGATGCTGAGGCAGGAAGATTGCAGATTCAAGCCAGTCCGAGCCACAAAGCAAAAATTTTAATAAACCATACAATTTAAGGAAAGGCAAATTTATTGCATATACTGTAAGAGGGCACTGAGCAGGCAGTAGCTGGAATTCTGCCCGCAGATCAACACCCGTTCTTTTAACCTGAGAAAATTATTTGTCATGTTTTACAATGAGCACACGTGTGGATTTGCCAGATTAAAATACATGCACTTAAAATGGACCCCTAATCCCAAAGAAATTTCAAGGCACTATTTCATGTGTTGCTGAATGATAGTATCTCATTACCTTTTATTTATTTAGTGTACTTGCACATGTGTGTGTGTGTGTGTGTGTGTGTGTGTGCCACAGTGTCTGTGGAGGTCGGAGGACAACCCGCAGGAGTCAGTTAAACACAAGTTTTGATACTGGAAGGCAAGTACCACTACCCACTGAGCCTGCCTCTCCAGGCCCGACAATGGCATTTTAAAGGTAAATCACCACCAAGACACATATTTGGTCTTGGTAGAGTGCAGTGCGGTGTTTGCCCTTCGTCTCATGGAACCATTCCTCAGAGACGTCAGCCCTCAGCCACTCATGGGCGCTAGCAGGCTTTCACTGCTGTTGCATAAACTGACCCTTCATGGCTACTCCAAAATCGTGCCCAGCTCAGAACCTGTGAGCACCACACATAGCAGGTAAACCCTGCAGGCCTGAGACTTTAAGGACAGTGTTCATCGAAGGTGACGCACCACTGTGTTTGGGCTTCAGGTCCCAAACTACATTCTCCTTATTTTTAAATAGCTAATTAAGTTGATTGGGGAACTTCAGCCGTTTTTAATCCAATGAGATAGAATGTTTACACATTTATTTCTTGGGCCTGGGAATGTCATTCAGTGTTAAAATGAATGGTTGCCCAAAAAGACAAAATACAAGAAAGCCAGATATAGTGGCCACCCCTTTAATCCCAGGACTCAGCAGAGGCAGATGGATCTCTGTGAGTTCCAGGCCATCCATAGCAAGACCTTGTCTCAAAATAAGTAGGTAAATAAAATATAAACAAGCAGACTTCCTTCCCTGCTGCACTGGAAATGGGCGTGTCCTCTGTCGGGGTGGCTCACGGCCCTGACATATGGCCCCTCTCATACTAGATCAGAGATGGTGACCTAGTGCCAAGCCGCCCCGCAAATCTAAGACTTCTCTTTTAAACAGTGGGGCCAGTGAGATGGCTCAGTGGGTAAGAGGCTTGCTGCCAAGCCTGATGACCTGGGTTCAGTTCCCGAGGCCCACATTGTGGAAGGAGAGAGCTGACTCCTGAAGTTATCCTCTGACCTTACACACGTGCCATAGCATGTACACACACACACACACATGTAAATAAACAAATGTGATTCTTAAAAAGAGACAAGGATAAAACAAAGGCTTACATTATTCGTTTTAGATAAGTGAATTTGTATTTAAAGTAAGTTAAAATTTTGGACTTCTTTGGACTGAAGTGACATCTTAGCTTTTTTTCTCTTTTTCTGAGACAGGTTTCACACTGTGCAGCATTTCTAGCACACACATTGGTGGGTTATTTAATGTGTCAATAACAGTAAAAAGTGATGTCAGATTTTAGCTTTCAGAATGTATTCCAATTTCCATACATTTAGCACACACATAAAAAAAAATTAGTGACTTTTAATTTGATAATCAGGGTCCTAAACCTAAAATATTCATTATTTTGCTTGTTTGGTTGGGGATTTTTTTATTTATAATTTGTTTGTTTGTTTTGTTTTGTTGTTTGAGTTAGAGGCTTACTAATGTAGCTCAGGCTGACCCCAAAGTACCCTGTCTCCTTAACCTCCTGAGTGCTGGGATTATAGCATACATATACATACATCACCACACCCTGGGATCTAGTTTTATTACATATGGATGTATGTGAATGGCTTTTGTTTCGCTTCATGATGTGAGCACAGTGGCTTCTGGTGCCACTGGCTGTCTTTGCGATGTCACTGCTTCCACCCCTTACCCCAGGTTCTCTCCCAAGGGAGCTACTTAATTGTCACCAAAATCAGGGCTCAGAGCCCCAGACTTTGTGTCTCTTGTGCTGCTGGCATCAGAAAGTTTCATGCTTCTCTGAAGCTGTCATGTGAAGTAAGTTCAGTTTTAGATACGGTGTAGTTTCATTAGTACACACGTGAAGAGAAGGAACCTGAGGCCCACTGCAGGGTCCCATCCCATGCCAAGCTCTTCTGTCTCTGTGCCATGCGAAGTTCAGACTTCCCAGGAAGTAATGCGAAATAATTTAAAATAATCCTTCAAGCATTTTTTACATAAGTTTTAAAATATCCATGTTAAAGATTTTTTTTAAATTATTTCGGGAGAGGTCAGGGGCTCTCACTATGCCACCCACAGTGACCTCAAACTTGCAATTTCTCCTTCTTCCCTAGTGCGCTGGAGTGCGTGCGTGCGTGCGTGCGTGCGTGCGTGCGTGTGTGTGTGTGTGTGTGTGTGTGTGTGTGTTGGGTGGCAATTGTAGGTATACACAACTTACCCCACTTAAGAAATACATTTATTTATTTATTTATTATTGTTGTGGCTTTTACATCAAAACCTGGCTATAACATTTTATGTCCCTCAAAAAAAAATCTACACATTTTGATTTTTTTTTTTAAATTTCAGAGAAATGATAAAGGTTTGTATTTTCTGAGTCTCTTTGGATCTTGCGTTGTAATGAAGGGAAGGGCAATTACATGGTTTTTACAATTTTCAGGTACTCCTGGAGAAAATGCAAACCAGTGGTTTCTCCTAAAACGCTGGGGAATAAGAAATTGATTTCTCCTCCCCCATCTGAGCAGGTGCTATTTAAAAGCCCCCCACCATTGAACATGATTTTGAGCTACAAATTTCCAGAGTACTGTTTGGGGGGTGTTTTAAATTTTCTAAAGGTTTCTGACTGACTGACCAGCTCATCTTGTACAGAGGGCGGGCCACGGTCCTCTGAAAACATTTTCCCTTTCCAAATCATTTCAGTTGCATCTAAGGAACATCCATTATTATCCATCCAGGGCATGTTATTTTTTTTCCACAGGGCGTTAGAATGAGATTAATCATCTTTGGCTATCAAGAAAGCACAGAACTCGATTAAATCAGTCAAGGACATTAAATCCCAGCCTCACTCAGTCTGCTGGCATGCCAGTTGAGAGACCGTTTGTGAAAGTATCATTTGGTTTGGAATTGTATGCCTGTCTCTTTAAATCTAAAAAAAAAAAAAAAAAAAGGAAAGAAAAAAAATCCTTTCAGAAGCTGTAGAGAGAAGGTGCTAGAACTGTGTACGATCATGACTGGAAAGCAGGATCCCTCAGTGACTGCCGAATCTTCCCAGCACAAGACAGAGAGGCGGCTCGCCACAAGCCTCCCCTGATCGCCCCCACCCCCAGAAGAAGGATGACCCCACCGACCAGCTCACAGATCCAATTCAATTGACAACGCAGCTCTTTCAGGGGAATGAGGCGGAGGCTCGCTTTTATGTTAAAAGCCACCAGCATCCTCCCCGCCAGACATGGACATGACATTTTTAAAGGAATTATCTGGTCACCGCGTTTTAAGCAGACTGTGCTGAAGCGTCCGTCCGCGCCATTCTCTCTCCTCTTCCTTTTCGCTTTTGCATATATGTAATTCCGGAGGTAAAGGGGGGAAAAAGCCTGCCAGGGAGTCAGAAGGCATCCCACGAGCGATCAGCTGACATTCCTAACCGAAGGCTGCAATGTGTTGCTTATTCATTTTATACCGTGGGAGCTGCGGGGACTAGCAGAGAGCTGAACTATGCATTTCAAACAGCGGTGCTTGTTCAGAAAGAGGGGTGAGAGAGAGGCAGCCGGCGAGGAAAGAGCGCAGCTGGACTTTCTCCTTCTCTTCATCCATTTCTGCAGGATCATGTATTCGTAAGGGATGAGGCGGGCCACGGCGATCCCAGGCCTGAGCCGCGGCCTACCCAGTCAGTTCAGAGCCGGGCCCTCCACTATCGGAACCGAGAGCGCTTTGCCACGATCAAATCCGCGTCTTTGGTAAGCCGATACTGCTCTCCCCACCTTCCCTGTCTTTCCCTCCTCCCTGTCTGGCAGCCTCTGGCCCTCCCTGAGCCTCCCTCAGCTTCATGGATGGGAGGAAAAGCAGCCAGAGATGTTGTCTCCCTCCAAATCATTTTATTCATTTTTTTGGGGAAAAAAATCTGTTGGCATAGCAACCTGATCTCAGATGTTTAGCATTGTCTATTGCTTAAAAAGAAAAAACCTTTGTGTGTGTGTGTGTGTGTGTCTGTGTGTGTGTGTCTGTGTCTGTGTGTCTCGGTGTGTATGCTGTATATGCAAAATATAAGGCTTTGGAATGAGTTGCTGGCATGACCAATTTTTTTTAAGCGATCTCTATTTTAATCAAAATAAATAATGCTAAAAATATTTTTTCAAAGTAGGGATGTGTTCAGGGCACTATGCTTCTTTTTATATAGGTGCATGTGTGTCTATGATACACACACGTCAAAAGGTAAAACATGATTTTATATATATATATATATATATATATATATATATATATATATATATATGGTTGCCGGCTACCATCTGTAATTGTAGAAAAATCAAACACTTGCTTCCCAAGGATAGTCCACTGGTTCGTTCTGATTCATTCATTTATTTATTGCAATGGTGGTAGTGGCCGAGCTTCCCCCATTTAACCCCTGAAGAATTTCCTGAGAGCCATAAAGCAAGGAGGCCTTTGTAGCGGGGGCTGGCGGCAGCTGTGGGGGCTGAGGGGCTGGCGGATTCCTCAGCATTTCTACTACTGCTGCAAATGTGATTGCCGGGTGCCCTTGTAGTAGCAAAAGGGGTGTGCGCAGGGAGACTTAGTTTTCATGCCTCCTCCCCTTGGCCCCCCACGCGTGCGCGTGCGCGCTGTCACATACACACACACACACACACACACACACACACATCCCCCTCCATTTCATCCTTAGCATTTGGAACTCTCTGCTTTTCCACCTGAATCTCACTTCTCAGGCAGGAAAATTATTGAAATATTAGTTGTTTTGCCCAAATGGATGTTAGAGGTCACATGAGCGGGAAGAGTTACTGTACACTGCTTGGCCGTTAACATCCAGAACCCATGATGACATCATCTGAGGCCGACCCAGAAATAATCATTTTTTCTTGTCCTATTTTTCAAACCTGATTTCTACTTTTATCCCCCCACCCCATCAAGTCTGTCTTTAAAGGCTCCAGTGGTGTTTGAAATTGAGAAGGAATTATAATCTTTGAGAGAGCAAATAGAAGGAAAATGGAGGTGAAAGCAGCAGTCTATTGCTCATGCCTATTTCGTGTCAGAAAAAAAAAAATCACAGTTTAACATAGTCTGTTCATAAAGAATCCCACTCCCGAGTTCTTTTATGTTGAAGTTTCTTGTAACCTCTTTAATGGGCAATTTTTCATCTGATAGGAGATCTCAAAATGTCCACTCTGTGGCTGCTAATGCTTGGTAAGCATCTCTAAAACCTGCCTGTGAATTGGATAGAACATGGTGGGGCTGTCGGTAGTGGCCTCCGTGCCACGGTGTCTGACAGGAAACCTGTGACTACTCACCACGGGCTCCTGCGGGCTAGTCCCTTTAGCCCCCCACCTGCTCCGGAGGAGCCCTAGCAGCAGGGGCAGGCGCTGCAGGGAGGCGGACCCTCACCCCAGCGGTTCCCCCATTGTGGGACAGGTCTCTGCTCTCCCTCAAGCCACGCCCTCCTTCCCACATCATATATTCATGACTCTCTCCTCCCGCCCTTCATTACTACAGCCATGCCGGCAGAGTCTCATGCCAGCCTCCGAAAACTCTCTCCAGGGCCGCTCAGCATGGGCTTCAGCCATCACAGCCGCCTTCCCAGTGGCTGATAGAAGCAGCTTCCCTGCCAGGCCGCTTGAGGCTGTGGGCAGAGCCCTCGGAAGCCTCCCTGAAGCCTGCAGGCTTCAGAGTAACCCACCCCACACCCTGTGCAGGGAACTGCTGGAGTCCATCCCTCTGGTGGACTTCTGACTCGTCAAGAGGTCTCTACTCCAATACTGACTTAGGGATCCAGAGGCCTGGGTTTGGGTGGGGCGGCGGCTGGTCTTCTAGAACACAGAGACCAGTGCGCAGGCTCTCCAGATGGGGTGCTCTCAGAGTCATGATAGTATCCTGGGAAGTTCTTCTGAGGATCTGGTAAATTTTGAGGAAGAAAAATAAATGAATGACGGGAAGATGGGGTATGGCATTGGATGATTGTGTCCGTGTCCCGTTTGGGGCCATCTAACTACTGGCGTGGCTATTTTTATGTCTGTCATAAAGTTCTTCAGTTCTGCTCCCCACCAAATGGTCTCACTCAACCCAAGGACCGCCCAAGCCATGACACTAGAATATTGGAAAGAAGTTTGTAATTTTAGAAAAGGGATCACACGTCCTGTTTTGTTTTGTTCTGTTCTTTTTTATGGATCCCCATTCAATTGAAAGGGCCTAAGGTGGTGTAAACAGCCTTTAATTAAGTGCAGGTAATGGGACGGTCCTAGATTGATGGTTGATGTGCCAGCCATTTGTTCATTGGCTGGTTTGGGTTGTACCCTTTCTCCATGGTTTCCCTCCCGGTAGAGATGCTGACGAGTCACAGAGATATCTGGAGGTGATCAGCAAAGAGCACAGGAACGCACAGACTCACTTTTCCATTACAAACTCATTAAATGACAAGAAAATTTTCTCCTGACTCGCAAACTGACGCCAACACTGCCACTTCTCAGATGGGTCTTACGGACCCACCTTTCCCACAGAAACCCAAAGGAAGCCCAGCTGGACACCACATCCTCTCAGTATAGCTCTCTCCCTTGCGTCTCTGAATGAGGCCTTTGATGGCCATGAGCTGTGGGCTCTTGCTACTGGGGGCGTGGCTCTCTGGACACCTTAAAGCAGAGTGTTCCAGGTTCCACACACTGCCACTCCATTGCATGTGGGACAAAGGAAAAGCAAGCCTGGGTGGAGCTTTAGAACACAGCTTCTTCATTAGAGCTCCCATGAGCAGCCTTTATTGGCTTCATGTAGACCTAGGAAAAGGAAGAGTACGTCATAGCATCTGCCTCTCTTACCTTCTGTGAGGAAGTGTGGCTTGGGCTGGTCTGTCGCCTAGAGAAGGACAGTTTATATCATTCTTCAGGGTTGTCTCTCTGAGTCCTTAGCCCTTTGAGATGAACTTTCCTTGAGTCTCACTGCCAGTGGGCGGAAGGCCCAGTGTTTGCATTCTGTGACTGACCCATGAGAGCCATTCTGGCTCGTTTCGATATTTGATGTCACTTCTTCTTCAGATGTTGTGGTGTTCCGGGTCAAGGTCATGGGTGTCTACTGGATGGCTCATTCGTGCCTGTGAAAGGAAGTCTTGGTGGCAAGAAATGGTCTGGCTGCACAAGCGAGTTTGTAACAGACCACTCCCTAGGGAGAGAGCGTAAGAAGAAAATTTAGTTTGAGGTCACAAGAAAAATGTGGAAGAGAAGCTGTTGTTCCATCCCTGTGGTACAGGTTCTCTTACCTGGCCCTATCAGATGGAGAAGAAAAAGAGGTGGGGGAGGGCGGGGGGAGAATCTGTGTTTGGAATTGTTGAACTCACCGTGTGACATCAGAAGAAAGATGTCACTACCTCAGCAGGGGACACCCCTGTGGCTCCTCTCATTTGAAAATGTCTCCTTCAGGACAGTGCACCAGAGGATGCGTTATCAATACACTACCAATCCTGGGGCTGGGGAGAGGGCTCCGTCAATGAGGTTCCGATTCCCAGCACCCATGTGAATGGCCGCCTATGACTGTGTGCGGCTCTAAGGCCAGTTCTCGGGCGGGGGTGGGGTAGGGCAGGCACAAGAGGCCGGGGCAGATCCCTGGAGCTCATTGGCCAGTCAGCCTACTGAATTAATGAGTTCATCCTCCCAAAATAAGGTGGAAAAACATTGAGAACGACACCTAAATGTTGACCTCTGACCTCCATACACATGTGTACACTCACATGTACATATCACACACACACACACACACACACGTGCACACATAAATATTGCATACTTCTTTCCATTACCTGCCTTCTCACTAAGATATTTGCTGGCCCCAGTTTCTTTCACCTGTGCTCTCTGTCAACCCATATGCCCAGCCCATGTGACCACGCACTCAGTCAACACAGTTGAATGAGTGGCGTCTCCACAGCCACTGCCATGTGAGGGTTTGGATTGAGAAGTGTACGTTTTAACTGGGTGTGGTAGTGTACACCTGTGTCATCCCAACATGAGAAACAGCCATGAAGAGGCAGAGTTCAAGGCCAGCCTGGGCTCCATAATGAGACCCTAGCTCCCTCTTTTAAAAAACAATGAGAAAAGTATGTGTCGCTTATTCTGTGTGTGTGTGTGTGAGAGAGAGAGAGAGACAGAGAGAGACAGAGACAGAGAGAGCACAGGAATCTCCTGGTATCGCTCAACTGTTAGTGGAGAACTTCAAACACCTTTCCCTTTCCCTTGGGTGCTCTGAAGTGTGCCATGTCAGGTCTCTGCAGCCAACATGAGACGCTCACCATATTCTCTCTGAGAACTGAGGTGACCGCTTGCACCAAGTGCACTGCTCTCCTCCTGAGGGAGAATGAATCCTGTTTATGGGCTTTGGTGATTCAAGCGCCTGCTGTTCAGTAGGTTATTATGACTTCATGCTTGTCCACGATAGGCATGTTCAGTAGCTTACTGTGACTTCATGCTTGTCCACGGTAGGCATGTTCAGTAGGTTACTGTGACTTCATGCTTGTCCACGGTAGACGTGTTCAGTAGGTTACTGTGACTTCATGCTTGTCCACGGTAGGTGTGTTCGGTAGGTTACTGTGACTTTGTGCTTGTCCACGGTAGGCGTGTTCAGTAGGTTACTATGACTTCATGCTTGTCCGTGGTAGGTGTGTTCGGTAAGTTACTGTGACTTTGTGCTTGTCCACGGTAGGCGTGTTCAGTAGGTTACTATGACTTCATGCTTGCCCACGGTAGGTGTATTCTGGACTGGAGATTAAATGGTTTGCTTCAGAGCCAGGTCTCCTAGTGTTAAACAGGGTCATATTTAGGTCTAAAGGGAGCAACTGAACTCCCTTTAGAAGGTGTTGCAGGCCTCCTGTGTATGGTCCATTAGCTGTTGCTTATTTATTATATTGTATATACGCCAGGTCTGTGAGATGAGCAGTAATTCTGACTCAGAAATTATGTGTGGTCTGGGAGTGTAGCTCAGTGGGAGAGCATGTGATGGAGGACAGTGGGAAATATACAGACTCAATCATGGCGGGGTACTGACTTAGAAGCCGGGGCTCATTCATGCTAAGCATGCATGTGTTCTCTCATATTTCCCCCTGAAAACTCACAAGCTCGCCATGGGCAATTGCATTGTTAAACGTGCCCTCTCGCCAGGCTTGGTGGTATATGCACATCTTTAATCCCAGCGCACGGGGGACAGGGACAAGCAGTCTCTGTGAGTTCCAGGCTAGCCTGGTCTACAGAGTGAGGCCCTATCTGAGAATAAAGATGAGATGAAGCCCTTTCTCTCCTGTCCACTTGTTGAAAGCTAGACCTGTCCCACCAGAAGCAGAGGCAAGGAGAGAGATTCCCACAGGGCTGGCAGGAGAAGGAAGGAGAGCAACAGGTCATTCGTGTTCCCTTGAGTCGGAGGCCCCTGAGTCCTTTGACACATGCCGCCTTACCCAGTCGGCCACACTGAAGACAACTGGACTTGCCCCTCTTTCCCTAAGAAAGCGTTCAAAGACTTGAAGAGGTCAAGTCTGTGTCCAAGGTCAGATGTGTAGTTAGAACAGAGTGGGTGCTTTCCCCAGGCAGCCCATGGCGTGGCACCATGGGACTGCTGACTCGTACTTGGTCCCATTGAGTCGTCGCTTGTGAAACTGTAGTCGTCACATCCCCGCAGCTTCTCTACACTTTCACACATGCTCACTGTGTGACTCAGACTTCCATTCTCCCCAGCTTTGAATTTGGGGAGGTGGGGGGTGTTGACTCCTTTGGTGTCTTTCTAACAGGAAATGACCACTATTTCTCAGCCTTGATGATGGAGTCCCTCAGGCAGTTCAAGAACCATGAGCCCTTGGTTCTGATCCCCACCCACAATGTATAAGAATTAAAAAGGTAGCTAGCTGTGTGTGTTGGTGCAAGCCTTTAATTCCAGCTCTCTGGAGGCAGTCTACATAGTGAATTCCAGGCCACTCAGAGCTATGTGGTGAGACCCATCTCAAAAAAAAAAAAAAAAAAAAAAAAAAAACTACAGAGAGGGAGGGAGGGGAGGGAGGAGAGGGAGGGGGAGAGAGAGAGAGAGAATATCAGGGTGTAGCCTGTAGCCTCAGAACTGAGAGGCTGAGGAGAGAATGTAACAAGTCTGGGGCCTGAAGAGGCTACACAGTGAGGCCCTATGTGGAGGCTGAAGAGATGGCTCCATCACCAGAACCCATGTAAAAGGCCAGGTCCAATGGCATGTGCCTGTAACCTCAGCCCAGGAGGGAAACAACAGCGAGGTCCATGACGTTCTTTGGCCAGCTAGTCTGGCAGAGTTGATGAGCTTCAGGCTCACTGAGAGACCCTGTCTCAGAAAATGAGCATCAAGAGGGACTCAGGATATCCAGTATCCACCTCCCCTCCAGCCCCACACACCTGAGCAGGCAGGTGCGCTCACAAGCGTGTGTTCACACCCATACTAACACCCATCACACACAGACATAAATCTGAAAGATAAATTATAAAGTGTACAAAATCATCATCTTTTTAATACATAAGTTACTTTTATTTCATGTTCATTGGTGTGTGGCCCACATGTATGCATGTATGAACGTGTCAGACGCCCTGGAGCTGGAGTTACAGACAGGTGTGAGCTGCCATGTGGGTGATGGGAATTGAACCTCTGCAAGAGCAGCCAGTGCCCTTAACCGCTGAGTCATCTCTCCAGTCCCAAATTACCAGCTTTTTAAAATTCTGTTGACCAAACAGCATATTCTTGAGACATCTATTATAAACAGTGAAATGAGAATGGATAATATAATTAACAAGTGTTTAATGTATTTCACATTAAATTTCACAAATGACCACTGCTCATACTTTGATTTAAGCTTGTCTGTCTACCTTGACCATGGAAGGATGAAACGTAGTATCTGTTGGTGGCTCATACCTGCTAACCTACTACTTGGGAGTTAGCGGTCACCCTGAGCTCTAGAGAGAGACCTCACTGCAAACACCATCTTCATGTGGGCCCAGGAAGATGATCCGAAAGGCAGGAAGTTTGCTGGTGACAAATGGAAGGTTGTGTTTGGAGTCTGTGGAAGGCGATTATCCTAGCCATGGGGAGCTCTGGAAAGCAAAGCTGCCCTCCTGGAAGACAGCCAGGTACAAGGAGGGCATGCTGGGCTCTCAGTTGTCTTTGTCACACATTTGAGCCAGGTGTGATAAGACAGGCAGTGGGGCCACCCTATTTGCAGGGACCCAGGCCCTGGTAAGACAGGAAATGTCCCTCGCCTCCTTCCCAGTCCATCATGAGGCCCAGAGCTTTGTCAGCTGTGGGCAGTACGTGTGCAGGGTTTGGATGCACCGTGATGGTGTTAGAGGAAGCCCTGCCTCCCCTCCGGGAGTCTCATTAGACAGGGAATTCCAGAGGACTGAGGATGACTCAGTGGGTATAGCGCCTGCTGCTAAGCTCAGACCCTGGCACCCATCTGAAGCCAGGCACTGAGGTGTGTGCCTGTGATCTCAGCACACTGGGGAGGTAGAGACTGGAGGATTCCCAGGCCTCCCTGCTGAGCCAACCTAGCCAAAATAGTGAGCTCCAGGCTGAGGGAGGGACCCTTTCTCAAAAAATAAGGTAGAAAATGATAGAGGAATCCCCCACCGTCAGCCTCTGGCCTCCACACCCACACTCACGGGCGAGTGTGCCCACGCACACATGAGGGAATACCAAAAACAAGTGAATATCTGGGTAAAATGTGCCTACCTAGAAATGGCCACCATACTGTCATATTTGTGTGTGGAAGAAAATTTTGATTTCAAAAGAAGCTGTTTTTGTTTTGTGTTTCCCTAAAGTTGTCCTCGTATATGATATGAACATTTGGGATTGGAACTTATACACATATCTCAAACTCCTTCTGTGCTTCCCTCTACCCAGATATAAATACATTTAAGGAAATAATAATGGGACTAGGTATAGACAGGCTTGTAATCCTAGTGCTTGGGAAACAAACAGAGGCAGAAGGCTCGCCGTGAAGGTCAGGGTCCCTGGAATATACAGGGATACCCTGTTTATTTATCTATATATATATAGATATATAGCTATATAGATATATGGATTTAGTTCAATGGTAGAGAACAGGCTAGTGTCTCATTCCCAGAACTGGGGGGTGGGGCGGAGCAACACACAGTCCATGTGGAGCCAGGCATCGTGGCACATCCCTGTCATCCCACCATGTGGGAGGCTGAAACAGGAGAATGGAGTGTTTGAGACCAACCTGCATAAAGGGCAGGCTAGCATTGAAAATCCCTAAGTTTCTTTTCCAGTACCCAAAATATAAATAGTTAAATAGTAAAATAAATAAATGCATGCTCACTTAGTGCCGTAGTGACAAACCACGTCACTCGCGTCTTTTGGAGTCCCCGAGGGTTTTGGGGTGATGCTGTCCTGCTCTCAGTCCTGGAGAGAAATGTTCTTCCAAGTGAGGCATGCATGAAACCACATGTTCCCTCAGCTCGGAAGGTTTCCAGTCCTACGACAGTGGTCCTCAGCCTTCCTCACACTGCAGCCCTTTAATACAGTTCCTCATGTCGTGGTAACCCCAACCACAACATTACCTTCTTTGCTTCTTCATAACTGTAACTTTGCTACTGTTATGAATCATAGTATAAATATCTGATTGCAGGAGAGCTGATATGTGACCCCTGTGGGGTCACCCTGCACAGGTTGGGAACTGCTGCTCTGGTAGGGACCCAGTGGAGAGTGCGGGGACACTCTTCTGACAAGAGCAGGAGCACCCTGCACCATCCAGGAAACACAGTCTGACCTACAGGCTGCAGAGTATAAATAGCTGTGTGGGATTTTCCAGGGAAATTTGTTTTGGGGGTGCAGTGGGGGAGGGGGCTCCTTCTCCAGGGAAGTAGCCAGATGATATGGTGAAAAGCAAAGCTAACATCCTGATGCTGAAACCCAAGGGCTTTTCTAAAATAGGGAAAAGGAGAAGGGAGCGCTTGGCGGCTCCATGGGGGGAGGGGTGAAAAGCTATCCGTGGAGGCTGGAAAATCCCAGAAAGGTCAAAGGAGGAGATAAGAGATGCCCAGGCTGCTGCAGACTTCTCTGGCAGCCTTAGGCTTGCTGGACATTGGATTAGAAATGAAATACGGAAATGCGATCCTGCGAAGCTCACAGAAACACTTTCTCCTTTTCAGGAAGAAATGGTGCCTTATGGGCAACTCTTTTAGGGATGGGGCAAAGGGAGACACAGGGTTTAAAAACTTTGTCTGTGTCTGTCTGTCTGTCTCCCTATTAGGATGATCTTTTGAAAAGCACAACCTCTCAACCTCTCACCTGGAAGGGCCCCACCACCCTGGGGGAATTCACAGTCTGAAGACTGTGTGTGTGTGTGTATGTGTGTGTGTGTGTGTGTGTGTGTGTGTGTGTATGTGTGTGTGCGCGCTGTTTATATGAATGATTGTTAAAAAATAAATGAATGACCTCCGTCAAGTCTCAATTTCCTTATTAAATGAAAGCTGTAATGCCTTCCTCGTGAGTGTGTAAAAGAGTGTGCAAACAAGATGTTTTGAGGATGACAGTGTCCAGCAGAACCCCGACTCTGGGTCAGCATCTGGAGGCTTGGAAGCCACAGGCTGATGAAGATGCCAGTGTCACAGGGCGCTCTGTACTTGAAAGTCCACCTCTGGTCCCGTCGGTGACCCGAGCTCTGCCCCTGTCCGCCCGCCAGGTTACACGGCAGATCCACGAGCATGAGCAGGAGAACGAGCTGCGGGAACAGATGTCAGGTTATAAGCGGATGCGGCGCCAGCACCAGAAGCAGCTGATCGCCCTGGAGAACAAGCTGAAGGCTGAGATGGATGAGCACCGCCTCAAACTCCAGAAGGAGGTGGAGACGCATGCCAACAACTCGTCCATCGAGCTGGAGAAGCTGGCCAAGAAGCAAGTGGCTACCATTGAAAAGGAGGTCAGTGTGCAGAGTATGGGGTGCAGGCAACCTCAGGTGCTGCAGGGTGTAGGGGGCAGGGTGGGCAGGACAGGGGTGAGGGGAGCACCCTCAGGTGCTTCCAGCCCTAGCCAGTCCCGACCAGTGGCAGAGTCGGCAGGGAGAGGGAATAGCAGGGCGGCAGTGTTGCTAGGTTGGGGGTCCTACCAGAAATTACCGTGGAAGGTGAAATTGGCAGGTGATTTCACTCTTATGTGTTGGGAGCAGGACTCCCTCCACGGTGGCCAGGGAACCAGTCAAGGGAAGCAAAATGCCACCACTGTCTTTGAGGACCATACATAGCTCAGGTCTGTCTGTACCTGCTGCACCCCTGTTTTCCTCAAGCAGCCCCATTAGTGGGGAGCATCCCTGCTTGTAGCTGCTACTGTACCAGCCACTGGCCACAGGGAAGTAATCTGGCTGTGATTTGGGTTTCCTGAGGAAAGATCTCTCTTCTTCATCCAGATCCTTAACCAATGCAATTATTTTAGTGAATTTTTTTGGTTGTGCTGGCGATGCGTGCCCACCTGAGATTCACTCTTGGGCTCTCTAAACTAATTTGGAAAACATTCTCTCTAGATGTGTATGAATGGTCAAGGATTTGGGTGCAAGGGCAGGAGGAGTCCAGGTTCAAGCCCTTCCTAGCTTATATCATGGCACCCTGTCACATAAAAAAGAAGAAAAAAGATAAAGTGATAGACAAAGAAGCAAGAAAATGTCTTTATTACTATTATATGTTTCATATTAGGAGGGACTGATTGGCCAGGCATAGTCAGTTGCACATGCCTGTAATCCTACCGAAAAGGTAGAGGAAGGGTGAAAAGAGGCAGATACTTAGGACCTACTGGCCAGCCAGTTTAGCCTAATCGATGCTAAACCTCAGGCCAATGAGAAACCTTGTCTCCGAAACCAAAGTGATGGATGGGGCCGGGCGGTGGTGGCTTACCCCTTTAATCCCAGCACTCGGGAGGCAGAGGCAGGCGGATCTCTGTGAGTTAGAGGCCAGCTGGTCTACAAGAGCTAGTTCCAGACAGGCTCCATAGCTACCCTGTCTCAAAAAGACAAAAAACAAACAAACAAAAAAGTGATGGGTGAGGTGAGGGGTTGGATGGGGAGAGAGATAGCTCAATAAATAAGAGCACCTACCATGCAAGCGTGGAGACCTGAATTCGGGTCCCAGTGTCCTCCATGGGCTTGGTTGTATGCACACCTGTAAGTCCAGTGCATTAGGGATGGAGACAAGAAGATCACTGGGGTTTACTGGGCACTAGCCTAGTTTCAGATTCAGCAAGAGACCATGTCTCAAACCAGTAAGATGGAGAGTGGGGCACCCATGAGTGTGTGCACATGTGCACATAAGCACCCCCATGCACACATACCACATTCACACAATGCATAAATAAAAATAGAAAGAAATAAATGGAAGGGTGGGTGGGTGGATGGATGGACAGATAGCAAGGTGTGTGGCCCTCAAGGAACAATACCTGAGATTGGCCGCTGGTGTCCACATACATCCACACACATATATATATACACACACACATACACACAGAGGTACATTTCTGGTCCACCTGCATATTTTCCCTATCATTGGGAATGTATTTTTAAGATGCAGAAAAGCCACAAAAGGCATATCTTTTTGTTTGTTTGTTTGTTGTTTGTAGAAAGGGGTTCACTGTGTAACATCCCTGGCTGTCTTGGAACTTACTGTGTAACCCAGCATAGTCTTGAGTTCAGGGATCTATCTGCCTGCCTTTGCCTTCCGAGTGCTGGGATTAAAAGCATGCACCACCACCCGGCTTGGAAGATAGTCTTTCAGTCTCTGCCCGGGGAGCCATTACTTGCTACTCGGGGACAGCTGAGTCCACGAAGCTCGGGCTGACCTTGCCCCCCCTGTTGTCTTCTCAGGCGAAGGTAGCCGCAGCGGATGAGAAGAAGTTCCAGCAGCAGATCCTGGCCCAGCAGAAGAAGGACTTGACAACTTTCTTAGAGAGTCAGAAGAAGCAGTACAAGATTTGTAAGGAAAAGATTAAAGAGGTAAGGATGCCCTCGCCCGCAGACACTCGCTGCACTGTGAACTGGCTGAGAGCTTGGGATGGCCTGTCTTGCACGAAGATCAGCATTTGATTGGATCCAGCAGTTCCGACTTCTCATTGGAGTTGTTGGAAGACTGATTAAAGCCAAGGGTGGCACACTCCTCCATCCTCCCGTCTCCACCAGGCCTGCAGTGGGGTTTCAAAATTCACCTTTCCAACAAGTCCCATGGGACGCCGATGTCGCTGAGCCAGGGGCTGCATTCCAACCTGTTCTCTACACATTGGCCAAAGAAAGAGTTTTAAACCATTTGAAACCCATCCTTTGAGAAAGTCCACCATCTTCATGGTTCTCAGAGAAGGTTGAAGTTCTAAAGACCCCACATGGTTGACCACCAACCTTGCCCCCACCTCCGTGCCTTCCACAGCCCAGCCTACTCAAGGCTACTGCATCCCCATGACTGCCCGTCAGTTCCTCAGATGGAGACTGCTCTCCCTGCTGAGGCGTTTCTTTACCCCATCTGCAGTTCTGCACAGTCCATTCCTTCTCCTTGTAAGAGTTATAATTGATTATTTAAATCCTAACTCCAATATTATTTTCCCGGACAAGCTTTTCCTAACTGCCTTGGCCAAGATACACTTCTCCCGTCCCACGAAATAGAGTTTTTAGTAATTTTTCAAGGTCCTTACTTAGCTGCTAACACCACAAAAGCAGGGAGCATGTCTTGTTGTTGCCCAAGACTATGTGTGATATGTGGGTCTATTTGCTACATGAGTAGATGATCCTAGAACGTTTGGTTGAAGAACATAGGTGGACATGAGAGAGTCCCCAGAGGAGCCCCACTTTCATCTGAGAACTTGTCTGCCTCATCCTCCTTTCCCAGTATTGGCAGGAGAGTTTCCCATGCTTCTGTGCCCTTCCTCTCTCCTACAGTGGAGGACCCCTTTTCTGCGGGCTTCCTGGGCATAGTAAGGTTTAATAGAGTACAATCTGGGCCACTGTCCCAGTGAAGTCATGCACGGGTGAAGGGTGCAGGGCCAATGAAGGACCTGGGTGGGCGGGGTATCCGGAGGATCTCAGGCCTTGCCCAGGTAAGACTCTGCTGCAGCTGGTCCCTGCTGGCTGAAGGCCAGGGTCTCTGGCTGTCTGAGTTCTGGAAACTAAAGGGTTGATAGAAATAGCCCCGTGAAGGAGACGCTCCTTTCATTTGTATTTTTCTTCTGCGATTAACAGCTAGATCTTGCAGGTTGCTTTGATTGTCTTCTGTAGGAAATTTTGCTATTTCCCTCAACTCCAAATGCCCCGCCTTTCTAACCTCGACATGTTCATCCCTGCTCTGGAGGCCATCATTTAGGAGCGTGATTACCATCTTGGGCCTTTGTAGCACCAGGATGTCGGGGGTCAACTGACAGACCTTTAAAAGATTCTCCACAAAACACACACTCCTGACCCACACCCAATCCAGCCCTCAGGGTAGCTTTGGGTCACCATACTTAGATAACAATCTGAGGTGGCCTCCGCCGCTTATGAGTAGAGCATGCTCGTCATGTGTACTAGATACCTCTAGATTTCACCTAAGGACCAATCACAGGGATATGGGAAGGACATTAGTAATCCAGTCTTGACTTTGGAGTGACTTTTTATGGTCACATTTGAGTTTAGACATGCAAACTTGGGGCCCATGCTGAACCTAGAGGTGAGATCATGATATAGAGAGACAGACACACTATCTAGCTCTCTCTCACAGGTTCTCTGATTACAAGGACTTACGGGCTAAGGGCAAAACTAATCTAAATAGTGGTGGCTCATGACAAACATTAAGAAAAACAAATGGTTTCAGAAGTGTGAGGGTTCACCAAACATAGGTCAGTCTCCTTGGGATGAACGGAGGTGGGGGAGTACGCTGTGCTCTCCCCAGAAGTATCCTGTTGCCCCCCACAGACACACAGAGTAGCATACCATCTCTTCAGCTGAGATTTCCTATGTATGATTTCCTCACCCTCTGATCCCAAATGGAGCACAGTTCTCTTTCTCCTGGAACTCGAATTAGCGACACCTGCAGTGTCCCTTCCTAACTCGACACCAACGGCTGCTCTTTCAGTCTTCTGCCTCCTCCTCGTTCCGAGCTCCTCTGTTCCCCCAGCTCGACCTTCCAGGAGACTCCTAGCTGCCTCCACAGACATGGTCCCGGTCCTGCCTCTGCCCTGCTCCCCACATGGCAGCCAGCATCCACTTTCTCATTATGGCGTCCGCATACAGAACAGCTGTTTTTACTAGGCTGAGGATCATTGGCGGGCTTGGGATCTACTATGTCTGAGTCCCTGGGCTCAACCCTAGGACTAAATAAAACCCTGGTCTGAACTTGGTCTACGTGTCCATTGGCTTGGCCAGCCTCATGGCCTATGAGACCCCACAGGCCACTGCCCCTCTTACCTCTCGACCGAATTATTTCCATGCAAGAGTTTTTCACAGGCTATTCCTCTGTCAGAAATATTCTTCTTTTTTCCCCTGCTTAACTCCCACCAATTCTTTCAAATGTCAGCATAGTTGTTCCTGAGGTCAAACGCTTCCCACCAAACACTGAGGCCCCCGCCCCTCCCTCCAACTCATCTCCACAGCTCCTAAATCTGGTGTTGTCGGGGTGCCCAGCCCTCGAGTGTCGAGGCACCATGACCTCTCGCTCACCTGCCACCAACTAATCCTGTGGTCAGGGCTTAGAGCTGTCAGCTGATGACTGAATAAATGATCTCTGAAAGTGAGATGCCACACGAGACAAATTCAAGCACTCCTCTCACTTAACACTCAAGTAATTGGGGAGAAGACAAATGGGGGGGTATACCACAGAGCCTTTCTGTGCTGAGGTCCACACTCACCGTCTACGTGATTTAACCTGTGCCGTCCAGTTTGATGGACCTGGATATGTTTATGTCGTTGTTTTCAGGAAATGAATGAGGATCATAGCACACCCAAGAAGGAGAAGCAGGAACGGATATCGAAGCATAAAGAAAACCTGCAGCATACGCAGGCTGAGGAGGAAGCGCACCTGCTCACCCAGCAGAGACTGTACTACGACAGAAACTGCCGCTTCTTCAAGCGGAAGATAATGATCAAGCGCCATGAGGTGGAACAGCAGAACATTCGGGAGGTATCTGTCACTCCGAGGCGTCCGAGGGGCAGTGGGGGGCCCGTCTCCTCCATTCCAGTGCCCTTAGCCGTTAGCACACACAAAGCGTGTCAGGGAATGAAGTTACCCGCAGTAAGGGAAAGCCATTTCTGCATTTCCGCATTTCCGATCGGCCTTAAACAGGGGCAAAGCTGTGTTAGAATAAAGGTGCGCGTGCATTCCGCCACACCGAGCAGGGCGTGAGAGAGAGGAAAGTTTCCACTTTCGACCTGCCTCTGCAAGAAGTACTCACACAGTGAGGCTCGGCGCGCCATCTCGTTCACGCTGTCGTCAGATGCCTACAGAAGGCCTCCTTCGTGCCAGGCTCTGTGGCAGACACCAGGGCTACCAAGCAACACCCGACTGCCAAAGTCAATCTCCTGCCTGCGTGGCAGTGGCAGGCTGAGATGGGGGCTTGGAGGAGATATCACGGGCAGCCAGAGGTGGTTCGGGTGTGTGGAATGCGGCCTGTGAACAAGGGGAGCTGGCTGGAGCAGGCTGTGGGCCTGGTTTAAAGCGAGGCCTTCAGACTGTACCCTGAAGGCAGTGCGAGCCATCAGAGGGGTTCTGTGAGGCAAGCACTAGCTTTGCTCTGAAGACCCAGAGCATCAGTGTGAGACCCAAACTATGCAGGTGAGAGAAAGAGAGCAGGGAGGGAAGCAGCCATCTTCCCTATGAGCTCCAGCCCAGCCAAGGCAGCAGCCTAGAAAGGGAGGTCGTAGCAGAGTGGTATTCTTCAAGCCTGCTGATGCTAATTCCCAACAGTGTCCCGTGGGGATTTCAAACAGTCTCTTGGTTTCTACTCAAGACACTGAGGCAGGATCACAAGTTTGAGGCTAGCCTGAGTTACATCTCAAAAATAATGATGATGGGGTTAGGGAAGAGGCTCAGTCAGTGAAGTGCTTGCCACACAAATGTCAGAACCTGGGTTCTCAGCACCAAAGCAAAACTCCAGGTGCTACGGTGTGCATCTGTGATCCTGCACTGGAGAGGTGGAGACAGGAGGATACTTGGGGCTCACTGTCCCTCCAGCCTTGCTAATCAGGGAGCTCTAGGTTCAGCGAGGAACCCTGCCTGAAAATAGAAGGTGGATAGAGATTGAGGAAAACATGCAAAGTCAACTTCTGGACTCCACACACATGCAAATGCTCACATGTATATACACACGATCATAACAATAACGCAATAATAACTATTTAGTAGTAACTGTCAGTCTTCCAGTTTGGGATATTAGATGGGTGTGATGGGCCTCGCTGAGACAGAGGATATAGAAGAAGACGTGTCAGTCTGTCAGAAAAGTATTAATAATCTGAAAAGACACACCACTGAGCCATTGGTAAAAATACTGATGGTCGTGGGGCATTGGTGGCACACACCTTTAATCCCAGCACTTGGGAGGCAGAGGCAGGCAGAGCTCAGTGAGTTCAAGGCCAGCCTGGTCTACATTCCAGGACAGCCAGGACTGCTACACAGAGAAATTCTGTCTCAAACAAAAATAAAAACAAAACAAAATAAAAAATACTGATGGTTCATCAAAACCCAGTGTTAACATGGAAGAGGGAAGCCATCACTTCAAGTACCATTAACATAAGAGCAACTGGGGCAAGTGTTTCAGAAAACCTCTTTTGTTTTGTGTTCTGAGACAAGGTCTCCTGCCTCCTAAGTACTGGGCTCACAGGCAGGCTGTGTGTGTGTTCTGTCATCTGGGAAGGAGGGACTAGTGAGCCCTTCTGCCCAGGGCAGGGGTTTTATAAACAGTAGACCAGAGGTGAGCATCGTTTGGAGCGATCTCGGGTTGATGAGAATGAGGTCCTCCACAGCGACGGAAGTGGGTTCTAAGATGGAAAGGGGTGTCTCGATACTGTAACAGTGTGGGGCGCTCTGCTGGACCAGAGCCCCTAGACAGAGACACACAGTGGAGCTGTAGTATTAGTGTGTCAGGGGTACGAGCAAATAAAGGAGAAACGAGACAGGTGTATTACAGAGCTAATAACAACACAAATATTTGAGAAAAGCTGCTTAGAGGGAAGAGACTAGAAGCAAAGAGATTAAGTGTAGGAAATTGGTGTGGACAACATGGTGGTGGGAGGGTACAACCGGCAACTGGGTCTGAACCATGACTTCAGACAGAATAAATGGGTCTTGAACTGCTCAGTTGGCAGAATGTCTGCTTAGAATGGCAGAACCCTAAATCCCACCTCCAGCGCCACGCACACTGGTGCTCAGAGGCGTATGATGCCAGCAGAGCCACAAGAAATCCTGACTTCAAAAGAAAAGAGACACCAGAGTAGTGGTGGCGCACACCTTTCATCCCAGCACTTGGGGGGGAGGCAGAAGCAGGCGGATCTCTGTGAGTTCAAGGCCAGCCTGGTCTACAGAGTGAGTTCCAGGACAGCCAGGGCTACACTGAGAACCCCTGTCTCAGAAACCTAAATAAATTTAAAAAAAAGAAAGAAAGAAAGAAGGACCAGCAAGTCTTGGCAGTGGATGAGAGGAGAGATGTGGAGGTAGAGTCAAAATTGCTTTCCGATCTGAGACTTGGAACACTAAGGTCTAGCTAGAGACAGAAGCTTTAAGAGAAGGTTTTATTAAGCAGTTATCTTAGCAGTGAATATCCCAGACATGTCAGAACTGAAAATGAAATGCGGGAGAAGCTCAGAGGGTAAAACCGTTGCTGTGCGAGCCTGGACCCCAGTGCCCACAGGGAGCAGAGCTCATAACGCACACTCATCTGGGATCCACATGCTTCTAAGCAACGGTTTTCCAGCAAGGGAGAACCACCACATACGTGCTCGGCATGACATGCTCCTACATTCAATGCACCATACATACATACATACATACACATATACACACATACATGCATACACATCCGACACATATACACATGCCATGTGCACACACACCCGTGGTCTTTTAAAAAAATAAAAATAGAAATGAATACTTTTTTATCTGACAACTACTGTTATTCCAATAGCAGATATTTATGAAAATTTCAAGGCTAAGTGGTCAGTTATCATTAATAAAAGTTATAGAAAGTAGCTACTCCTGAACATGACTTTTTTTCCTCGGGACAGGATTTCTCTGTGTAACAGCCGTAGCTGTCCTGGAACTAGCTTTGTAGACCAGGCTGGCCTCAAACTCACAGAGATCCACCAGCCTCTACCTCCTGAGTGCTGAGATTAAAGGTGTGTGCCATCACTGCCTGGCTCTCAACGTGATTTTTAAAAAACTATTTTCATGAAGTTATGCCTCAGTGATTAAGAGCGTTTATGGTTCTTGCAATAGACCTGGGTTCAGTTCCCAGCACTCATACGGTTGTTCACAACCACCTGGAACTCCAGTTCAATGGAATCCTGTGCCCTCTGCTGGCCTCCAAGGGCACTGCACATAACAACACACACACACTCTCTCTCTCACACACACACACATACACAACCAGCTAAACAAAGAATAGCCCTCAAGAGTATTTTTCTTTTTTTTTTTTTTTGATTTTCGAGACAGGGTTTCTCCGTAGTTTTTGGTGCCTGTCCTGGAACTAGCTCTTGTAGACCAGCGGCTGGCCTCGAACTCACAGGGATCCACCTGGCTCTGCCTCCCGAGTGCTGGGATTAAAGGCGTGCGCCACCACCGCCCGGCAAGAGTATTTTTCTTAAGGGTTCATAGTGTCCTGCTTTGGCCTTATCCTAGAACCACTTTCATGAAAGCATTCAGTGCTTTCCTATTTACAAAAGCAACAAGAACATAAAAAACAGAAATAGGAAGTGTGATATGAAATGTTATTTTTAATTATGGGATAGAAGTTGTCTACATTTAAGGTATATAACTTGATGCCTTGACATAGTATTCATTGTGAAATTATCATATTTGAGTTTATTGTCATATCCATCAGCCCCACATAGTTTCTGCTTATATATGTGTGCATTGTATGCAGTGTGTACATACATGATTTGCATGTATGTATGTATATGTCTTTGTGTATGCATGTTCATTCACTATGTGTGTAGGTATCATGTATCATGTATTTGTGTATGTTCATGCATTATGTGTAAGTGTATATGCATGCATTATATGTGTGTATATGCATGTATTATGTGCAAGCATATATGTGTATATGCATGCATTATGTGCACGTGTATATTCCTGCTTGAGTGAGGAGATTTCTCTCCCAAATGTAAGCATGACAAGCTATTGTCATCATACTGTCCTTTTAGATTTCCAGAAATTACCCATCTTGCATAATGAAAATTGGGTGCCTTTTGATCAATATCACACTTTCTTCGTGATCTCATATCACCCAGTTTCTACCCCCAAAAGCCAACCATTTATTTAGCATATATTATTCTAGAGTCCCCCGCCCTTGTCTGTTATGTATGATTTTAACTCTGTGGCATTATCTCCAAGCGATAAATGCAAACTCTGGCTAGCTTAGGCATGGTAATGAAATTTTTCAAGATTTTTTTTTATTTTTAGTGTATGTGTATGGATGTGTTTCACTTGCTTGTGAAAGAGGCAAGAACATGGTGGTAGATCCCTCTAGAACTGGCATTATAGGCAATTGTGAGCCACCTCATGGGTGCTGGAAACCCAACCCAGGCAAGAGCTGTGCTCCTCTAGGCACTGCCATGGCTGTGTCTCTTCAACCCTGTTAATGTATATTTCTGTATCAAACCAGTTGCTAGGAAAGAGAGAACTTGATGCCTGTCCTTAGCGGAACACCCTGATTCCAGCAAGGATGAAGTCTTTCTCCAAGCAGAAGAGGAAGGCCGGGGTGGGGAGAGTGCAGAAATATCAGACACCCACCACACTCTTTTACCTTTCTCCATTTACCATGAAACATGCAGAGTGCTGCCCTGCTCAGCACAGCATCATGGGAGTCACCCATAGTCACAGATCCGTATCTAGGGCATCTGTGGAAATGTGACTGTCAGCCCACCAACCACAGAGAGCGTGTTTGTATGTACGTGTTTTTAGCGTCTGCA